AATAAATAAATAAATAAAATAAATAGAATGTATGAGGGAGGGTGGGTATAAGTGCTCATGCCTGTAATCATAGCACTTTGGAAGGCTGAGGCAGGAGGACTGCTTGAAGCCAGGAGTTTGGAACCAGCCCGGTCAACACAGCAAGACTCCATCTCTACCAAAAAACAATGATATAACAGAGTCACCAAAAGATTATTCAGTTTGGATTCAAAAGAGCATCTTTAAAAAGAGCATATGATCCCAATAACAGAGATCTCAACAAAGTGGCATAACCATCATTGAGTCACCATGGACTTTCAGGGGTTCCTTTCCAGGGTCCCATGATCACATGCTATTTCTTTTTCTCTTTTTTTTTTTTTTTGAGACAGAGTCTCGCTCTGTCACCCAGGCTGGAGTGCAGTGGCATGATCGCGGCTCACTGCAAGCTCCGCCTCCCGGGTTCATCATGCCATTCTCCTGCCTCAGCCTCCTGAGTAGCTGGGACTACCGGCGCCTGCCACCACGCCTGGCTAATTTTTTATATTTTTAGTAGAGAAGGGGTTTCACCATGTTAGCCAGGATGGTCTTGATCTCCTGACCTCGTGATCCGCCCGCCTCGGCTTCCCAAAGTGCTGGGATTACAGGCGTGAACCACCATGCCTGGCAACGTGCTATTTCTTTTTTCTTTTCTTTTCTTTCCTTTTTTTTTTTTTTTTTTTTGAGACGGAGTCTCACTCTGTCTCCTAGGCTGGAATGCAGTGGGGCCATCTCAGCTCACTGCAACCTCAGCCTCCCAGGTTCAAGTGATTCTCTGCCTCAGCCTCTTGAGTAGCTGGGATTACAGGCGTGCACCACCACGCCCAGCTAATTTTTTGTATTTTTAGTACAGACAGGTTTTACCATTTTGAGATGGAGTCTCGCTCTTTTGCCCAGACTGGAGTGCAATGGCGTGATCTTAGCTCACTGCAGCCTCTGCCTCCTGGGTTCAAGCGATTCTACTGCCTCAGCCTCCCGAGTAGTTGGGATTACAGGCACATGCCACCATGGCCGGCTGATTTTTTTTGTATTTTTAGTAGTGATGGGGTTTCACCATGTTGACCAGGCTGGTCTCAAACTCCTGACCTCGGGATCCACCCACTTCAGCCTCCCAAAGTGCTGGGATTACAGGCATGAGCCACCGCACCAATCATGTGCTATTTCAAAGCAGTCAATGAAGCTCTAAGCCCAGAGTCTAAGCAAAGATGCATTTGAGTTGGTGGAAGTGCTCACGTATGGTCCAGATCCATCTATAGCTTAGCCAAGGCCCATTTGACTTGGCTTTGTCTCCCACCATACAGAAGAATGGAAAAGTAACATCATATGGACGCTTATTTGAAGGCTAAGCTAAACATTAACAAAAAGAGAGGGGGAAATAATGGAAATAACATGGATGGTTCTGCCAGCTGTCAGACTCTGCACTTATGTCCTGACTGACCATGAGCTGAAAGCTGCAAATCTGCTCTTGCTGAAGCCCCAGTCCAGTGTGCATCTCTTAGTATATGCATCCTGTGATTCTAGTCTCTCTCTCTTTTTTTTTTTTTTGAGACGGGGTTTTGCTCTTGTTGCCCAGGCTGGAGTGCAATGTCATGATCTTGGCTCACCGCAACCTTTACCTCCTGGGTTCAAACGATTCTCCTGCCTCAGCCTCCTAAGTAGCTGGGATTACAGGCATGTGCCACCACACCTAGCTAATTTTATATTTTTAGTAGAGATGGGGTTTCTCCATGTTGCTCAGGCTGGTCTCGAACTCCCAATCTCAGGTGATCTGCCTGCCTCGGCCTCCCAAAGTGCTGGAATTATAGGCATGAGCCACCGTGCCCATCCTGATTCTAGTCTTTAAAGGAGGATTTCCTGGCCACATGCAGTGGTTACGCCTGTAATCTCAGCACCTTGGGGGCTGAGGCAGGCAGATCACTTGAGGTCAGGAATTTGAGACCAGCCAGACCAACATGGTGAAACCCTGTCTCTACCAAAAATCCAAAAATTAGCCGGGCATGGTGGTGCACACCTGTAATCCCAGCTACTTGGGAGGCTGAAGCAGGAGAATCGCTTCAGCCCTGGAGTTGGACGTTGCAGTGAGCCAAGATCGCACCACTGCACTCCAGCCTGGGTACCAGAGTGAGACCCCATCCCCCTGCAAAAAAAAATCAATAAATGAAATAAAAGAGGATTTCCTATGACATTATTTTTAGACACAAATCAACTATTATTTTTCATCTGTCGCTCAATCCCCAAAACAGTAATGTGATCCTACATTTGAAAAAAAACCTGGGCCTGGTGCAGTGCCTCACGCCTGTAATCTCAGCACTTCGGAGGCCATGGCAGGAGGCTCATTTGAGCCCAGGAAGTGAAGACCAGCCTAGGCAACATAGTGAGACCCGTCTCTACAAAAAACGAAATTAGCTGAGTGTGATGGCACATACATGTTGTCCCAGGCATTCAGGAAGCTAAGGCGGGAGAATGGCTTGAGTCTGGAGTTGGAGGCTGCAGTGAGCTGTGATCGGGCCATTGCACTCCAGCCTGGGTGACATAGTGAGACCCTGTCTCAAAAATAGGAAAAAAAAAAAAAAAAGTAAAACAAAACCCTACGTTCGCAGAGAGATGGCATCTAAAGTGATTTATAACAATGGCCACAATTAATGTAGCATCTATACCACTAAGATGAAGGAGAAATTGGTCAATGAATAGTGACAAGTGTTCCGACGAGCTGCGAAAGCGGTGAGCCAGACCTTAATGAAGAGAGAACACGCAAGATCTTTTATGACTGTAACACATGAATTTGAGGGTTACAAGCCTTGATGGCAAAATGCTCAGAAAAACGCTTTGTCTGCATACACATTGCCTCAACAGAGACAGCGTTCTGACTAGAGGTAATTCAAAACCAGCTAATGTTGACCTAACCGTTTTAGGAATTGCTTCAGTCTCAAAGAAGTTGGAGTTGTTTATCAAGAGGCAGCAAAATTCCACTGTGGGCCCGCGCGGTGCTCACGCCTGTAATCTTAGCACTTTGGGAGGCTGAGGCAGGCAGATCACTTGAGGTCAGGAGTTCGAGAACAGTCTGGGCACTATGGTGAAACCCGTCTCTACTAAAAATACAAAAATTAGCTGGGCGTGGTAGTGCACGCCTGTAATCCCAGCTACTCGGGAGGCTGAAGCAGGAGAATGGCTTGAACCCGGGAGGTAGAGGTTGCTGTGAAGATCGCACCACTGCACTCCAGCCTGGGCGAGGGAGCGAGGCTCGGTCTCAAAAAAAAAAATTCCACTGTGAACCACTAAACAAATTCACAGAAGAAAAGGACTACCTTCCAAACGTTTTCACGATGATAAGGATCATCTTGGCTAAATACACTTCTGCCTTACTAACTCACTTTGTAACACCCTCCCGAATTCTACTCCATGACTCCACTATACCCAGGAAATCCTTTCCCTGACCCCTCCAGGTGGAGAAACCACTCTCTCAACAAAACATACTCACCGAAGTCCACAGCAGCTGAAATCTGCATCTCACAGGCTGGCTGTTCTTACTAGAGTTATAGGCTTCTCAAGAGTTAAATTTGTTCCTAAATATATGTCAGTGGCACGTGGTATTGGGAATAGAGAATTTAATTAAATATTCCTAAATGTCAATGAAACACAAGTGCAAAAAGAAAGTTGCTCTTGGGCAAACTTAATGAATGGCTTTCGAGACAATCGACAAAGGAGAGTCACAATCTTTTAGGCAAGGACCGAAGGGATCCTAGACGTTGTCGGGGAATTCGCAAAAATTCAGGCTGTCTGTAATCAGATTGCTTCTCCGGTGAGCTTTACGCTCTCCATGTATTTTTTTTAAAATCCAACACGAAAATTCTAGAGGAGGCTTTATTGGGTGCGGTCTGTGCAAGAGAGACGATGGGGAATGCCAATCGGAGAACCCAGATTCAAAGGAAAGGTTTTTTGGACCCACATCAAAAGCCTGGCTGCTCGGAAAGTTTTCTCGCTAGCGACAAAGACTTGGAGGCTGGAAAAAGCGTCGTGGTCGCCACCTACCGAGAAGCGGCGGGTCGGGGGAGGATGACTGTCGTGGCCCGAATCCCCAGTGGGTGGTACTGGGTGGGGGGATCAGAAAAACCACTGAATCTCGTGCTTTACATAAACATCTAAAAATCGTCGGCCTCGGGGTTGTAAAGTTTTGGAGTTTAACTTAGGTGAACCGTAGTGTCTCACCATTTTCAAAACCCACCGGCTAATGCAAGTTGAGAAGCAAAAAATAATGGTAGGGGGAGGAGTTTGAGTTAAATCGTATCGCGGTTGACAGAACAAAACAGGAGCTACGAGTCAGGATTTCTGCTCCCACTCCCTTGCAAGTTTCCTTCCAAATCCTGAGGGAGAACAGAGGCGGAGGGTCTGGGGGAGGAATTAAAACACAAGGTCTCCTCCCCTCTCGCCTGTCCAAACTTGGGGGCAACGGTTTCTTTGGAGGACAGCTTGGAAAATACTAGAGAGGAGTTCTTTGTGTCCTGGAGGGTGGTGCAGGGCGGGAGGACTCCCCTTGGCAGAGCACGGAGGGCGACGGGCCGGCCCGGGGCTCCCCGGCTTTTGCAGCGTCCCGGTCTGGCAATTTGCAAGGAATGTGGGGTGCAAGAGCAAGTGGGGGACTTGGACGGCGGCTGTCGCGCGGTGGGGACGAGGCCGGAGCCACCACCCGTCCAGATTTCCGTTTCTGCACCCCGGCTCCCCTCCCCCACCCGAGCGGCCGCGCAGGCCCCAGGTGCAGCCATGTTCTCGCTCCCACCACCCTCGCCTCCATTGACAGCCCTTGCTGGAGAGGGCCGGGCGCCGCGCTTGCCTCGTCCTCGGGTTCGGGGCTCGCTGGAGCGGTGCTTCCTGGGAGTTGTAGTCCCCTGTCCCTGCTGCCGCGTTGATGGGGAACGCATCCGAAACTACAACTCCCGCTGGGCGGCGCTGCGGGTGCGCACGCGCAACGCGCCTTCGAGGAACAAAAAAAAAGAAAAGAAAAAAGAAAAAAAAAAAAGGAGGAGGAGGAGGAGGGTGAGAGAGAAGCTGGGAGAGCAGAGAAAAGGGGCCACCGGTCGCCCCCCCGCTTCCCCGCACGCGCTCTCCAGCCGCGGCCGCCCGCCTGCCGCGGTCACCCCGGCCTCTGCCTCTGTCCCCCAGTGATCGGATCAAGGCGCTGAGCGAGGCCCTGCCTGCGGGGCGGCCATGCGGCGGTGACAGGAGCGCGGCCGACACGCACGGGCCCCTCGCCCCCTCTCGCCTCCCGCCCGCTCGCCAGCTCCCCTCAGCCGAGGCTGCTCCGCTGCGGCCGCAGCGCGCGCGCGGCCCACACTCGCCTCCCCTCGGCACCCCCGGCCCCGGCGCTGCCTGGAGGCAGCCGCACTCGGGTGAGTCCCTCTCGCCTCATCCCCGTGCCCCCTGCCCCCGCCTCGGGGGGCCATTGCGAGCGGGGGCCTTTATTGGAGACTTTGCCCCGCTGGGGCCTGCAGGGACAGGGGCCTGGGAGCCGCGGCCCGCCGCGCGCGGTGTGGGGCCTTGGGGGGCACCCGTGCCGCCTCCCTTTACCCCCACCCCCACCGCCTCGCCGGGTCTCCAGCCCCGCCGGCCTTGGCAGTGGCCGAAACCAGGCGATGGGGGTGGGGCGGCACGGACGCGGTCGCGGGGGACGACAGTGGCACGCGCGCGCCTCGGTGCGCGTGGGGGAGGGGCGCGCGCGCCAACCGGCGTGGGGTGGGGGGGCGCCTCGCGCGTGCGGTCCCGCGCACGAGCGAGCGAGCGGCCCCGCTGGCTGCGCATGCCCCGCCGCGCTGATTGGCCGGCTAGGCGGTGCGGGGGCGCGCGCGGTGCCAGGCCCGAGCCGCCGTGGGGTCGCGCTCGCCTGGTGTATCTGGGGCTCCTGCGCCGGGGCAGCAGACGCGCGGGATTGGCCGACCGGCGCGGGGGCGGGGCCGCGCGTTGCCTGGTAACTGCGGCGGGCGGGGGAGCGGGAGCGCAATCCCCCGCCCCGCCCCGCTCCCAGGTGGAGCCCGCAGTGGGCTTTGTCCCGGGCCGGCCCGGCGCGCCTGCCCCGCGGGGCCTGTTCTTTGGGGGAAATAAACACAATGACCGGAAGGAAAACCTCAGCCTTAGGCCATGAAAATTAAGCCGTCTGGGTTCGGCCAGCACCCAGACGACGGGAGTGCAGAGGAAGAAGGAAAATGAAATGGAAAAAGCTGTCTTCTTGCCGCTCCCTGGCTCCTCCACTTTTTCTTAATCCAACTTTTGCCTTTTCGTGTAGCGAATTTTGTCCTCCTTAGGTTATGGATTTGCGCTGATTTGCGGCTGGGGATGTTCAGAGGTGGGGTGCTGTTGGAGTAGTGTCCACTCTTGCGGATGCGCAGCTCTTGCCGACTACCGACCTCCTCCTTTTTTAGAAAAAAAAAAATTAAATTATTTGTGGAGATGCGTTCTCACTATGTTGCCCAGGCTGGTCCTGAACTCCTAGGCTCAAGCGATCCTCCCACCTTGGCCTCCCAAAGTGCTAGGATTACAGGTGTGAGCCATCGCGTTCGGCTTAGTTTTCTTTTTTTTTTTTTTTTTTTTTTTTTTACAAACAGGGTCTCTCTGTGTTGCCCCGGCTGAAGCGTGCAGTGGCGCAATCATAGCTCATTGCAGCCTTCAACACCTGGGCTCCAGCGATCCTCCTGCCTCAGCCTCCCCAGTGGCTGGGACTACAGGCGCATGCCATCATGTCCGGCTGATTTTTATTTTCTGTTTTTTTATTTTTATTTTTTGAGATGGAGTCTTGCTCTGTGGCCCAGACTGAAGTGCAGTGGCATGATCTTGGCTCATTGCAACCTCTGCCTCCCCGGTTCAAGCCATTCTCCTGCCTCAGCCTCCTAAGTAGCTGGGGTTACAGGCGTGCGCCGCCACACCGGGATAATTTTTGTGTTTTTAGTAGAGATGGAGTTTCACCACGTTGGCCAGGCTGGTCTCCAACTCCTGAACTCAAAGCAATCGGCCCCCCTCGGCCTGCCACCGAAGAACTGGGATTACAGGCGTGAGCCACCGCCCTGGGTCACGCCTGGCTAATTTTTAATATTTCTTTAGAGATGGGATCTTCTTGTGTTGCCTAGGCTGGTTGGGAACTCCTGGCTTCTGGTGATCCTCCCACTTAGGCCTCCCAAAGTGGTGGGAGTACAGGCTTGAGCCACCACGCTGGGCCTCATCTCTTTTAAATTCAACTTTGCCGCAGACAATGGCTTGATCAGCCAACAGTGCAGAGGAGAAGTCTCCAGTCCTTCAGGGAACAAAAGGGGAAGTTAGTTTGCAAATGAGAATGTGCAGGTAGAGTGCCCTGCGGAGGCGGGGTCTTCTCCCCTGGCTGAGGCCTATGGTGTGGGATGACCGATTTTATTTCCTGCTACGGGATTTTTGGGGGGCTGCTGCCTTGGCTTTCCTTTCTCTTGCTTCTTGGGATCTTGGCCTTTTGGCTGGAATGACGTTTTTCAGGCTATGGAAATCAATCTTGCTCATATGCAGCTGCTTCATTAAGGTCTTTTCTCTCTCTCTCTCTCTCTCTCTTTTTTTTTTTTTTTTTTTTTTTTTTGTTGTTAGAGTTTCGCTCTGTCCCCCAGACTGGAGTGCAGTGGCGCGATCTTGGCTTACTGCAACCTCCGCCTCCCGGGTTCAAGCGATTTTCCTGCCTCAGCCTCCTGAGTAGCTGGGATTACAGGGGCCTGCCACCACGCCTGGCTGATTTTTGTATTTTTAATAGAGACGGGGTTTTGCCATGTTTGCCAGGCTGATCTTGAACTCCTGACCTCAGGTGATCCGCCTGCCTCGGCCTCGGAAAGTGCTGGGATTACAGGCGTGAGCCACAGCTCCCGTCCTGAGGTCTTATATTGTATGGTCAGAGTTTGTTTCTTACTAATCTCCCAATCAACTTGTGTGTCCTTCCTCGCAGGGCACCTTTATTTTCTCATTTCTTTTTTTTTTGAAACGGAGTTTCACTCTTGTTGCCCAGGCTGGAGTGCAATGGCGCGATCTCGGCTCACTGCAACCTCCGCCTCCCGGCTTCAAGCGATTCTCCTGCCTCAGCCTCCTGAGTAGCTGGGATACAGGCGCGCTCCACGACTATTTTCCTCTGCATCTGGCCAGTCACTGGGTGTAGAGCTCATAGGGGCAGGGACAAGAAGCCTTTTCCTCCTTTGTGTTTCTCCCTCCACTTCCCCTTCCAGTTTGGCATCGTCCTAGTGCCTTGCCTGAGGTAACAATGCTGCTTACATTTGAATGTCTTCCTTGCCCCCCATGGCTCTTGAGCGCTTTCGATCTACAGTATTTTTCCTATTTAATCCTTGTGACGAGTCTGTAATTCTATTCTATAGAGCGGAGCAAGTCTAGAGAAGTTGGAGAGTTCTGTACTCTTGCTTACCTAGCACATGAATCTGGCCGGTGTGACTCAACCCTTAAGCCGAGGTTCTGAAACCGCCGAGCCCGGGCGTCCCCAGGAGCGCTGGCATGTGCAGACTCTGCTTGCTGGGTCCTAACTTCCCAGGCTGAATCTGCACGTCTGGGGAGTTGCCCGAGAATTTGCATTTTGATTAGCTCCCCGGGTGGTGTTGATGGTGGCTGCTCCCCGGACAGCCCTTTGAGAACCATTCACAATGGTGCAAAATGAAGGGAGGGAAATTTATCGGAGATGTTTGCTTTTCCTTACTTTAAAATTAGATCTTGGCCGGGTGCGGTGGCTCACACCTGTAATCCGAGCACTTTGGGAGGCCGAGGTGGGTGGAACACCTGAAGTTAGGAATTCGAGACCAGCCTGGCCAACGTGGCGAAACCCCATCTCTACTAAAAATAGAAAAAGTAGCCGGGTGTGGTGGCGTGCGTGCGTCTGTAGTTTCAGCTACTTGGGGAGGCTGAGGCAGGGGAATCTCTTGAACTCGGGAGGCGGAGGTTGCAGTGAGATAAGATCTCACCACTACACTCCAGCCTGGGTGACAGAGCGAGACTGTCTCAAAAAAATAAAAATAAAAATAGAAAATAAAAATAAAATTAGATCTTAAAGAATCAAAAATAATTCGGACGCCTGACCGTAGATTGCTCAGAAAACTGGCTGAGAGTTGAGAATTCCTGTTAGCCATGATTAGAAGTTAAAAGTTGCGTAAATCTCCGGTTTAAAAAGGGGACCATGGTTTAAGTGCGGAATAAAATGGGAAATCTATGGAAGTTTGACTTTTTCCCCACTCTGATTTATTTATTAATTTAGTTGCAGCATGGGCATTTGTTACATTATCTTCTTCAGATGCCCAAAGTCTGCCACACCCACCACACAGAAGGTTTGAGTGATAGGACCACAGCTTGTAGTTTTGGTCCTTGGAGGTATGGGGGTTGGGGAGCATTGTGTGCTGAGGCTCCCCTGGCCCCTCCAACAATTCAGCTTACTCAAATATGACTACAGAGGCTGGCATTTAAATGTAGGCTTTGGGGGTTCTTTTTGCCGGATGGGATTGAGGGCAATTCTTACTGAGAAAGATTTTTAGGTTTTTTCTTTCTTTTTTTTTTTTTTTTTGATGGAGTTTAGCTCTGTCGCCCAGGCTGGAGTGTAATGGCACAATCTCGGCTTGCTGCAACCTAACCCACCCCCGCCCCGGTTCAAGTGAGTCTCCTGCCTCAGGCTCCCGAGTAGCTGGAATTACAGGCATGCGCCACCACGCGAGATGGGATTTCTCTGTGTTGGTCAGGCTGGTCTCGAACTCCTGACCTCAGGTGATCCGCCTGCTTTGGCCTCCCAAAGTGCTGGGATTACCGGCATGAGCCACCGCTCCTGGCTGGTGTTTTGTGTTTTTTTTTTTTTTTTTTTTTTTTTTGGAGACACAATCTCACTCTATCGCCTAGGATGGAGTGTAGGGGTGCGATCTTGGCTCACTGCAACCTCTGCCTCCTGGGTTCAAGTGATTCTCCTGACTCAGCCTCCTGAGTAGCTGGGATTACAGGCATGCACCACCACACCTGGCTAATCTTTTGTATTTTTAGTAGACATAGGGTTTCATAATGCTGGCCAGGCTGGTCTCAAACTCCTGACCTCGTGATCCATCCGCCTCAGCCTCCCAAAGTGCTGTGGGGTTACCAGCTTGAGCCACCGCGCCTGGCGATTTTTAGGTTCTTAAAATTATAATGTATTTCTTTCTGGGGAAAATAACCGCAGATTAGGTGGGAGGAATGGTTTTAGTTTACAGTTAATGACCCCCCTCCTTTCCCCAGCCTACACCCTTAGGCGAGTTGTACACACTCCTTAGGGGACCCCAACTTCCATGGCCACTGACTGTCCTGCTATATTCTAGTATGTTCGATGACCCATAGGTGGACAGGTTATTATTATCTAAAGGAGCTGAACACTGAACAA